TATACAAAAAAATGAGGAATTTCAAATAGTTAATTTGATACTAATATCGATATATTTTTGTCAAATTTTTATGATATCTTCAAACATATATTTTATTTAAAAATAAAAACATCATCCTTTCTCAAAATCACATAAAACCATATTATAACATCGACTGAGATAAAAAATAAAATAAAATATTAAAATCACGATGTATCTCGCTGCATTGCACGAGTACGCTTCTAGTATATACATAATTACATATGATTAACAAAAATATCTACCTTTATCCCATATGAACTGATTTTAGATATCACATGTGATATTTGATGAAAATAACGACTTTTTTTCTATCAAAAGTATATCTAGAAAAAAAAAATTAATTCATACACTTGTAGATACTAGTTTTATGAGTGTTCGTGAGTAGTCAAATTGAAAAGGATCTTCACGTTTGGCGAAGTCATTTGAGGAACACGAGTTAGTTAAACAACCTTATACGATAAAACCTAGTACACCCCTTCACGTTCGCATAATCGCGACTTCCTAACATCGTTACTATTTGTACTACGCTTGAATCGTCAAATAGGAAATTTGATTCTCATTGAACTGAACGAACAAGTTTGATTTTGTATCATAATAGAACAATTTGGATTTGGTACGAGTTGTTTTCTTTAATGCATGTATATATAGGCATGGAAATGGGTCTTGGCTCGTTGGGGAACCCGGTCCACCTGTTCTGATCGGGGACGGGTATCCCCGTTTGTTTCAAACCGGGGATGGAGATGAGGACAGGTGTCACACTCCTTGCCCCGCCCCGTACTCCTTATATATACACATTAATTAATAAATATTATATATACATTATTTATTTCAACTAAATCGGTATTTCATAATTTTCTATTTTCTAACTAGGTTTTTTATTATCTAAAATTGTTAACTTTTTTTATGTTAATATTAATATTTTGGATGTCAAGTCAAAATACAATTACTCGATATGGTTTTGTATTACTCAATATGCTTTGTACCTGTGACGTTAAGTTTTCTTAGATCAAACTGAATTTCTTTTGGTTTTAGGTTATTAATTGTTATATGATATTGTGATTTTTTTTTCTAGTTAAATTAAATTCCTTTTGATTTTAGGTTTATCGGCAATGTGTGAGATTTAAACGTTTTATGGTGTCTCGTATATTTGATTTATAAATGCTGACATAAACAGGAAAAAAAATTCCCATTTCCCTGTTGGAGATCCTTGTTTCCCGTTGGGTATGAGGATGAAAATGTGATCATATTCTCCGACTAGGGTGGGGATGGGAACGAGGATGGAGATGAGAATCGAGGTCCCTACCCCATTCCCGTGCCTATGTGTGTGTGTGTGTATATATATATATATAGAGAGAGAGAGAGAGAGAGAGAGGATAGTTGGTTGTGAACCTGTTTTCTGTTGTGAATCGAGAGATAAACGAGAGCGTAAAATGCGCCAATGGACATAAACTTTTTACAACATTCATGATGAATATGTCATGAATATCGTGGACATGTGACACACACTTGTTAGTTCCCCAGTATGCAATGGAAATCAGATTTTCAAACGAACCTATCCCTATACATATATATATATATATATATATATATAAATATAAAGTAGTTTTAAATTATTAATATCCCTAATAATTGAGAAAAAATAAATAAAAAAATAGTGGATTTTGGGGGGTGGGGGATGTAAGCAAAGTGGGCCATGAGTACATGTTCTGGTTGAAGCATTTCCATGTGCCAACATGACACTTCTCTTTTGTTCAAATAAACACACCTTGATTTTTTGATTTACAAAGATTCCAAATATCTATTTAATTATAAATATTAATTATAAAATATTTTATTAGTTTAAAACATTTAATTTTAATATTTCTAAATTATATTCACTATGTTTTAATATTCAAGTTACATAATACAAATTTTTACCGAAAGATATATAGTTATGTAAAAAAAAACAATGGTGGATTTATGATTTTTCCATAACAGACGCGACCCGATCAAAGCTTCGTAGGTCCACCCTTGTGTGAAGATCGTCATTGAACATATCAGTTCGATTTCATATAACAACAAAAAATGTTAGAAGGTTGCTAAACGTGCAACGATGCAACTAGAAGGTTGCTAACCACAAGGGTGGTGCCCGATTGGTTTGAGCTTGACTCCAAAGGTAAAAAGTAACAGTAGGTCCCAGGTTCAAATCCAATGAAGAATAAAAATTCTCTTGTGGCCACGGAGGTTCAAATGCGGTGACTCGGGACTATCTGCAAAACGGGTGGTCGCCCTATAATTAGTTGGGTTGCATAACGGGTTGAATATCCAGGTTAATAAAAAAAAAAGTCGAAATTGAAACTTAAAAGGTTAAGATTATTATGTTTACTTGAGAAATGAAAGAATTTAGAGGTAAAAATTTAGCGTGGGAGTTGGTTAATGCTAAAAAACAACGTGTCAATATCATCGATTCGTAATCGTGAATTTTTTTATGACGAGTAGTTCATATTTGCTTTTATTATGTAATAACTGGTTTTGGAGAAAATTAACTGAAGTTTTATTAACGTTCTATGTATATTATTATAACTGATAAGAATTATGTATATATATATATATATATATATATATTTGTTGTTTTTTGACGTAATTAATTAATGACTTGTCAAATTGAAAAAGGTATGCCAGTCGCATTGCCATCTTTATATTACTGTTGAAAGTAGAATAAAATTTATGATTAATTACGTGTACAAGTTATTATCAATGTGGATGCATTCATTTTCGCGATATCAGAGTCGAGATGACCTGAAGTTGAAAAAAATATGCAACAAGTGTGTTTCAAGTGGGGGCGTAATATAAATGGTAAAGGGGCATACTTGATTTACTCATACAATCTAAGATTTTAATCAATCTATATGATATCAACGGTATTTATTCATTTAACAGTCAAATCTTACTGATTTACCATTTTCATCAAAATATACATGATGTTGACAATCATATAATTTCCAACACGACATGTTCTTTACACATAAAAATGACCGAATAGATTTTAAATTTTTTATTTTTTAAAATGAGATATTTATCTTTTATTTGATTATGTTTATGCGCAATTAGTTACACAAATTCAAACATGGAGCTTTAATAAGTTGTACTTATGCATAACTTACTTGTAATCTTGAATTTTAAGTAATATGCATCAATATACAGTACTTCATGCATAAAAAATTATTTTTAAGAGTTTTTGTCAAATGTTTTATAATATAGTATGGATACTCGTTATTCTATTAAGTTGATCATTATACTTGCTAAAATATGAAAAATAAAAATAAAAATCAAAAAACATAATTTTATTTAGGAGTAAACATCACTTTTGATTCTTAACATTTATCATTTTTAACGGTTATCGTCCTTAAATTTCAAAAAACTCATATTTGATCCTTCATGTTTATCATTTTACAACAGTTTGGTCCCTCATCTAATGACCTTGAACTTTTTTATTAAGTTCTGTTAAATGAAAAATCTAAAAACTAATGAACATTAAGAAAAATGATCAAAATACCCCTTATTTACCTGGACTTAACATAAGAACTTAACGGTCATTAGATTGAAAGACCAAAATTGTTGTGAAACGTAAGAGACCAGATCTAAGTTATCAAAGTTTTAAAGACGATATTTATTGAAACTGGCAAACGTTAGGGAACCAGATATGAAGTTTACTCTTTTATTTAATGTTCATAATCATATTCGATGAGTTTTTTTATAATAATTTGTAAATATTTTATTTTGGAAGAGTTGAAGATAAACGAACTTGAACTGTTGATATCCGTCGTAGGGTAAACCACTGTCTCTTTGGTCCCCTGACTGATTATACCATAGAGGCCAACGATAGACAATAACTTCCCTCGAATAAAGCTTACAACTTTCATCGTACTGTGCGATTCTAATTTATCTTATTTTTGTATGCATTTTAAATGTAGGGACCGTTAATGTAGGTTAAAAAAACTAAAAGACAAAAATTGACATTTGTTTATAGTCAAGGGACCATTTTTGTAACTTTACTCGATACAATAAGAATAGACCTCCCTCCCTAAATCTTTTACCGATTGGATATCGTGGAACCCGTTGTATTAAAAAGGGGGGAAATTAATCGCCGGAAAAACTCAGTTTCACTCACTGAAATAGCTTTCTGATTTCACGAGTTGATCGGAAAAGATGAAGGAGAACAACAGCAATGATGGATTTGTAAGGGCAGATCAGATTGATCTGAAGAGTTTAGATGAACAGCTTGAGAGGCATCTAAACAGAGCATGGACAATGGAAAAGAACAAGAAAAAGCAACCGGAGTTTGAAGATTCCGCCACCGCTGCCTCCGCTGCTTCCGCCGTCATGCCACCGTCTAAGGGTACTGCAACTAGTAAGAAGGAAAGGCAGGAGTGGGAGATCGACCCTTCTAAGCTCTTAATCAAAGGTATCCTTGCTCGTGGGACTTTCGGCACTGTCCACCGTGGCGTCTACGACGGCATCGACGTCGCCGGTCAGTAATCCCTAACCCTAACTTTCCGCTTTCACTTCTCATTTGCGCATTTCTTTGTATTTTTACATCAAATTACTCGATTTCCTTTACTGGGTTTACGTTTGGTTAATTAATTTTGCAATATTTAATACTGAAAATCGCATCTATCTCCAACATTGAGGATTGGAATCCATGTTTTGAAATAATTTCAATATTTTCTACCAAGTTAAAAAAGCATGAAATCCAAATAGGGGTTTCAAATGAATCGCTATTTTTTCTTTCCATAATGGTGGTGGCTGATTTCTGTGTAATTGCTAAAGTGAAAATGTTCAACATGTAATCCGTGACCTACACGGATAAGGTTTTGAAAATTTCTACAGGTGATACCAGTAACTTCGATTGATGATGTTGTCCTTCTGACTTTCATGTGATCCAACCTGTTTTTATACAATACTATAATAATAATATTTCTATTTGCTTTTATTGTATGAATTTACGCCTACAAATTAGGATCTCAGCCTCAACTTTATTGAATTCAATTAATATAATCTTTTACTTTAATAATATATATATATATATATATGTGTGTGTGTGTGTGTGTGTATGTGTCGGTTCAAATAAGTTGGCTAAATATCGTGAAAAGGTAAGAAACGAAGGTTCAAATGTGAATCATTGAAAGAATCTATTTGAAGGTTCATATGGTCGAAAGAATCTATTTGAAGGTTCATATGGTCGAAAGAATCTATTTGAAGGTGGAATGCGAACCCATATGAGTAATTTGTAACGTTGGCTTACATATGCATCTTCAATCCCCATTTTTTCATTGATTCACATATGGATCTTCTCTTAACCTTCCCTTGTTATCTTCTCGTGATATTTAACCTTCTTATTTCAACCTCCCGCTAAAAATGGAAAACTGAGGAACATCCTAGTAGCCATTCATTTGTTTGGTATGCACATGTGTATAAAAGTAAGTTGTCCGCTAAGCTTTATGCACATGTGCATAGAAACCAAAAAAGATTTTCAATTACTATTATGCACATGTGTATACCGGACAAATAAATGGTTGGTTATTAGGGTGTTCCTTAGTTTTTCTTTTTTGTGGTTTTCCTCTGACCTGAGTCTCTCTCTCTCTCTCTCTCTCTATATATATATATATATATATATATATACACACACACATACACATCACTCTCTTATAGATACCCTCATTATTTTCTAAGTCTTGACCGTTGCCTATAATCCATAGCTTTATTTCAAAACAAGAATGGTAATTTGTAAATTAGGACAGTTTTAAAGATGGGTTGTTCATATAATTTAATCAAGTAAGCTAATATTCTATGGCTTTCTTGTCATCCTCAGTGAAATTGCTGGACTGGGGGGAAGAGGGCCACAGGACGGAAGCCGAAATACAATCTTTAAGGGCAGCATTTACACAAGAAGTGGCGGTTTGGCATAAGCTTGATCATCCTAATGTCACAAAGGTCATATTTCAATTCTTTAAAACTTCCCTCTTGAACGTATGCATATGCATCTTTTAAGTTTAATTGTATATGCATTTGCTGATAAAAGCTAGAGATTGTGTCTTTTGGGTGTGTTTGGTATGTGGGATAGTATATGTGACAAGACTGTACAATAACTTCTTGTCCCACTTTTGGTACAAGATTAGACCGGGACATGACAAGACCTGACGGACAAAAATGCATTTTTTTCTGTCCCACCAAAATATTTGAAACAAAAATTGGGGAAATGGGACAAGATTGACGAATTCTAAACTACACCTGTTAGATTATAACCCTAAAACCTTCCCGAGTTCTTTCACCTGTCTATGTCTCTCTTTCTCGTCCAGTCCTGTCTGCATGCCAAATGCACTCTCGGATACTTCAGAATTGGAAATGTTAAAGAAGGATATGATTTGTGGCATGTACTTCAACCCTTGTCCCAGAACCTTCTATTGGTTTGTTGACCATTAATGCTGGATAATCGGGTATTCAGGATATGAATAATCTTAAGTTGAAAATGTAAGTTAATATGGGATCGGATTGAGTTAAAACACCACTTTTCATGTCACATCCCTTGTTTGTCTGAATTGTTGTTATGGAAGGCGACCACGTTCCTATTTGTATGTGATGCCGAATTCATGAATTATATAATAAAGAGAGATGATTTTGGATGTAGGAAACATTCTGCAACTATTGATCTGTGTATGTGATTATTACCAAACTAAACAAACCCATTATATCCTACTCGAAAGTAGGGTTTGGGGTTGGGATATATGCAGGCATGTCCTGTATCCTAAGGGTAGAGAGGCTGTTTTTGTGAAGACTCCGCCTCCCCTGACTTGTATGCATGTGATTATTGATCCTAATATAGTTTCATTTGCGATTGTAGTTTAGTGGTGCTTAATGGCCCTTTATATGAGTTGAGGATCTTGGTTGTTTCTTAAAACAATCTTGACTTTTGCGTAAAGATTTTCACTATTTATTAAAACAACGTGCCACTTGTGTAGAAATCCAAAGAGCAGGTGATTCTTTATATCACGTAATATCAAATTTTGTTTTGATTAATTTCGGTTTATAGTTTGAAGGGTTTTTTTTTTGTTCAACTTTGTTGTTAAGCACACAAAAATGTGTCTTCTTTTCTTATACCCCCTTTGTGTCATGGACGTTGCAACAAATTCTGTTTTGTCACACAGGAATTGTAACGTTTTTACTTTTTTGGCAACCTTTTAATACTTTCCACTTATCATTGCTACAAAGCTTAGTTGATGCTGATTTTGTTCGAAAGACTTCCCATCTTTGTCATTATTGGAGGGACCTATAACAGATATTTTGTGCACTTACTTTTTAGAACATAGCTTGTTATATTTAATGTATGGTTTCCCATATAGTAAACCAAAATCAAACCAAACGAGCACAGTATATTCCATCTGGAGGTGGGTTAGGGAACGGTTAGATGTATGCAGACCTGACTTTTTACTCAAAGAGTAGAGTGGTTGTTTTTACAATGTATTGTTTCCCATGGTATACAAACCAATTCAGGTGAAGCTTATTTTCCTTGTAGCATGAAACAGAGCTTGTCCCGAGGGCATTCATAGTTTCTGTTTGAAGGCTCAAGAAACCTCACTTTAATGCTGTCTCAATTTACTGAGCAACCCCTAAGTGTGGAACTCGAACCCAAAGCGTGCCAAAAATCGATTTTTGACAACGTTTGAGCTAATTGTGGGCCCTTTTGTTAAATGACCTTCTAGCAATGTCTCTTTTAAATCCATGATCTTCTAACAGGTGTGAGACTGCTACTGCCTAAGAGAGGAATGCCAATTTCATAGACAAGAATGCCTAAAAACCTGTTAGAAGGTCATGCATTTTAAAGAACACTTCTCCGGAGGTTCATTTAACTAAATAACCCGACTAATAATATCGTTTCAAGAAGCACACGACTTCTAAATTCTGTATAAATTGTAGATTATCGTGATCAAAACCCTTAGATTTCATCTAAAGCTGCATATGTGGGTTGTATTTGATGGTTACATAATTATTCATGTACTGATGCCGGAAATCACCCACCATGTTGAATTGCAGTTCATAGGTGCGACAATGGGTTCTTCAGAGCTAAGTGTACAAACGGAAAACGGTCAAATTGGAATGCCAAGTAACATCTGTTGTGTCGTCGTGGAATATCTTCCTGGCGGTGCCTTAAAGAATTACCTTATAAAGAACAGAAGAAAGAAGCTCGCTTTCAAAGTTGTCGTTCAAATGGCACTTGATCTTTCAAGAGGGTATTTATTTACCCTTCATAATCTTGAAATCCCTCGTGTTTAATATTGTAATCCCTCTGTCCCAAAATAAATGTCCACAACGAAAAAGGAACACATTTTTTTAAAAATGTGTAATCATGACACCTTTTAGTTAACTAAATGACAATTGTACTTCTAATAACAGTGGGAGTAATGATTCTCTCTTGTTCATAATCAAGGGAAGAATTGCAAAACAATCACTTATTTATGAAAGTGTGACGTTTATTTTAGGACAAACTAAATAAAAATGTGGACACATATTTTGGGACGGAGGGAGGACTTTATTTGTTCTAATATAGGTACACTTTGACAATAGTTGACTTCTAGGTCAACTATTATAGTGGGACAGGACAGGACAGGACCTCTTGTCCCACCATAATAGGTGGAACAAAAATTAGGGAGACGGGACAAAAATTGGTAAATTACTAACTTATCCATGTTAAATTAAAACCCTGAAAAGTTCCACATTTTCTTCACCTGTTTGCCTCACTCTCACGCGCCCAGTCTCGTCCGGTCTGCGTACCAAACGCACTCTGTGTCAAAGTGTATCCTGTCTCTTTTTAATTTTCTTTTGGAACAGAGGGAGGAATTTTGTGATAGCGTTTATGCGTGTGTACTTGTTGCTCACGGGGTTCTCATAATAAATGGACTTTTTACTTAGATTAAGCTACCTGCACTCTCAAAAGATCGTACACAGAGACGTGAAAACTGAAAATATGCTGTTGGACAAAAGTAGAACGATTAAGATCGCTGATTTTGGTGTTGCTCGTGTTGAAGCCTCAAACCCTAATGACATGACGGGGGAAACAGGGACTCTCGGCTATATGGCCCCTGAGGTATGCACAAAATCATCATAATCTCAGACCTGAATACTGGGGTTGTTCCTTTTCAAGTATATAATATTTATCTATGCCAAAACTTACACACTCGACTTGAATCCTTGACCTACAAGAAGGCGGGAATCTGTAGGTAAACCTGATACTGCTGGGCCAATGATTTTTTGGTTACTCTTGTATTGTTTTCGGTCATTCTTTGAATCGGGAAAATTGCAGGTTCTCAATGGTAACCCGTACAATAGGAAGTGCGACGTCTACAGTTTCGGAATTTGTTTGTGGGAAATATATTGTTGCGATATGCCGTACCCCGACCTTAGTTTCTCAGAAGTGACTTCAGCTGTTGTTCGTCAGGTATAACCTCCTTCAAGATCTATACTCCTTACGTTCCAAAATAAATGTCCATAATGAAAAAGACACAGTTTTAATAATTTGTAATTATTACACATTTTTAGTAAACTAAATGACACTTTTATCCTTGATCATAGAGGGAATAATGAATTTCTCAATTTCATAATTAAGGGTAAAGGTGGGTATTTATTTTACTAAGTTTGTTTGGTTAATGAAAACATTATCATCAAAGTGTGATCATACTTATTTCTTCATACTAGATTCTTTTGTTGTTGTTGAAGGGTATTTTAGACATTTGATAACTAGTCCAATACTGTCTCGTACGGACTTGTGGGTCTAAAAGTAGTAAAAAAACGTGCAGAATCTGAGACCGGAAATCCCAAGATGTTGCCCGAGCTCTCTTGCTAATGTGATGAAGCGATGTTGGGATGCAAATCCCGACAAACGGCCGGAGATGGATGAAGTGGTGACGTTGTTGGAGGCCATCGACACATCGAAAGGCGGGGGAATGATCCCGGGGGATCAACCTCAGGGTTGTCTCTGTTTCCGTAAGCATCGAGGCCCGTGAAACTCGAAGAATTCGATCCGTTTTTGAAAAATGAATAGTAGAAAATTTGGGAATTCCTAAAACTGGGAATGATATTTAGATGATGTTCCTGTGCTACATATTGCTTTCTTTGGATCATGTAAAGTTTTTATTTTTTATTTTATTTTTATTTTTTTATTAGTTTCCATCCTTTTAATTCTTATTGCATTAGGTCTAAACGTCTTACAAAAGCTAAATATTTTTCTAAAATCACTTCATTCTTATCAATGCATATATACGTGTATAGGGGAACGATCAAATGCAAACCACTCAATTTGTACAAACCGTGCAAACTTCATTCAACCAATCATAATTTTTCATTTTATTCATTTTTTTGTAATTATGAGAGGTTGATTAATCATTTTTATTGTGGAGGGTGAATCATAGATGTTATCATCTTCATTATTTTAATTTTAGAGAAATACATGAAACAGTTTCATTAAGTATTATATGAAACAAT